TCAAGACACGCTGGCCCGCCAAGACGGCTCGGCAGGCCGGCGGAACAAGGACCGTCGAAGCGGCAGCCTCGATGACGGCGGCAGCGGGGACGACGCGGACTCATCTGGTGTGTGGGCCGCGTTTGGGGAGGATCTGGCCGGCCGCCACTACTGACAGCCCCGCATGTGTGTGCAGCGCTTGGGCTGTGTGTAGGATTGCCGGCCTTGCGTGATGCCTGCGCCGCGCGTTTCTTCATGAGGCCAAATGCTGCTGTTGCAGTTGCCGCCTCTCCGTAGCGCTGTACGGTAACACACTTCGCCATTGGCAGCGGGTGCAGGCATCCCTGGACCCAAAAAAGCTTGACCCTGGCCTGTAATTGTTGCCATTGCTACAATTTTTGTGATAAACAGTCAAGGCGACCTGCAAGGGCACCTTTGCTGGCAGCTGTCGTCGTTGCTACGGTATGTCGGGATGGCGGGTTTTTGGTGGCTGCTCGTGCTGGCCAGGGTGGGAGCGCGGCAAAGGGGGGGGGGGTTTGAAGGTAGAGCCTCCCTGGCAGGGCAGCTGGCGACACTTGAGAACGTGCCTTTAGGGTCACAGCGCTAGGTCTTGCGCTTTTCACTGCACCCCGCTGCTGCCTCGCCGAGAACCGATTTGAACCACCTGATTGCGCCACTGGTCTCAACACGGTTCACACGAGCATCAGGATTTCTCTTGTTCTACTTCGAAAAAATCCATTGCGTCACGAATTGCGGTGATTCAGATCGTTCAACGCTACGCACTGAAGAGGCGGCCTGCCGAATCGACCTGTCGCTGCTGCCCCACAAAACGTTGAAACGAGGATATTTGACATTGCAGTGGTGTACGCTCGCTCGCCATGGGCCAGGTTGAAGCTTGTGGCGCACATGCGCATCGCCTGCAGGTCTAGCGCGTCAACAACCAGCCTGAGCGCAGGGTGGAGACCATCTGCGGTGCCTGTGCAGTAGGATTGGTTGAAGAGAAGCTAATGAATCAGCATATATTCAGCTGACCATGTATTGAGCTCACGGGACCCAACCAGCAGCATTGCAACACGGGCGTGCAGCCAGCGTCCAGCGGCGCTGTGCTGCGCCTGTCGGGGCACCCGCACGTTCGGCCGGCATGGACAAGCTACACAGCGAATATGAGGCTTTGCAGCAGAAGCTGGCACGCTTGAAGCGCGAGCCGGCGCTTGGCAGCGGCGTGGTACCCGGGGCCGCACCAGCAGCGGCAGGTGGTGCCGCCACAGGCAGCAGCACGCTCCGCCCACTGCAGCAGTTGCAAGCAGGGCGGCAGGCGACGCCGCTGGGCGCGGCGCTGGCAGCCAAGGTCGCCGCCAAAGACGCCCCTGCTGCGTCGCTGCCGCCCCGCTCTACGGAGAACCGCCTGCCGCCCAGCAAGGGCGGGGCTTCCGGCGCAGCAGCTGCCGGCGGCAGTGAATGCAGCAGCGGCGCGCAGATCAGCTGCACGCAGTCCGACGCCGCGGCCGCGCTGCAGTACATCCAGTTCAGCGGGCGGCATGGCGGCAGCGCGCTCTGCGCCGCGGCGGCGTCTGCATTCGAGGATGCAGAATTCGTGAAGCTCTGCGAGCAGTCGATGGGCGGGCAGCTGCAGCGGACAAAGGAGGGGGCCACCACGCAGTCGCGGATGCTGGAGCTAGCAGGTGGGCCGTCGTGCATGAGGCAATCGAAGAATCCGGGCCTTGTTCGGGATGGCGATGGGGTTTGTGCACCGGCGGCTTGTCAAATCTTCAACCCCTCCAGCCGTGTACGAGGCGCCCCATTCCCTCAGTCGCCGTTGCCGCGGGCACCTGCGCAGGCATGGTAAAGCTGCTGCGCCGCTGCCTGCGGGAGGCGCTGGCAAAGACCTCTGCACTGGTGGACCAGGGGGCGCGGATCGAGCGGGATATGCACACACATGTAAGACGCAGCGCGTGCTGTGCGCCGCAGACCCACAGAAGGCCTTGGTGCGGCCATGAGCTTGGCAGACGGCGCAGCTGGGTTGTGTGATCATCTCAGCAATACGTTAGCCTTTCGCTCTCAATGCACCCTTCGTTCTACAAGGGTGTCACTGCTGCATCACAACGTCTTCGCTGTCAACCTCCAACTCTGGGTCCGTCCCGCAGTCCGACTCGGCGCAGTTGGACGTTGGCGCCATCCAGCGGCGCCTGGAGGCGGACGCGGCGCTGGCGCGCAAGGAGGCGGCGCAGATAGAGGCCACCTACAAGGCGGAGCGCGCGCAGTGGGTGGCCAAGGTGGACATGCAGAAGGTCGAGGTGCGAGGGGCTGCTGACGCTGCTGCCGAGCTGCGGGGTACAGAGCGCCTGTGCGGCAGCCAATGGAACGGCGGAGGACGAGGAGGCCTGTGAGGACTGAGGATCTCGTGGGTCGGCGGGGATGGCTGTGAATGTCGTTCATGGCATAGCTGAGAGAGGCAAGGAGTCAGAATGCTGCTTGGTCGTGGGGGGGGGGGAGTACGTATAGCGCCTCTCCGAGCAAAGCGCACGCCTCGCCACCCGCGCCCCGTCCGCGCCAGGTGGCGCGGCTGAACCGCGAGCTGGAGGCGTTGGAGGAGCAGCGGGCGCGCTGCCGGGAGGAGGCGCAGCGGGAGGGCGAGGCGCGCATCCAGCGCGAGGCCGAGGTCAAGGTGGGCTTGCGTCCGCCCAGCCGACGCACGTGTGCGTACGTGCGTGTGCGCTTGTGCGTGTGAGGGATGATCGAGTGGTGCAGGTGTGAGCTGTTTCTGGGAATTGGACGTAGGACTTAGCAGCAGCAGGGTAGAGGCGACAAGTGAAATCTTGCAGCACAGGCTGCGTCCTGGCCTGCCCACAACGTGTGAACGCCGGACTGCTGACGGCGCCGCACGCTCGCACGGCCGCGCACGCAGGAGCTGCGGAAGGCTGCCGACCAGCGCGCGAGGGAGTCGCAGATGACGCAGGGCGAGGCCGCGCGCAAGCTGCAGGACGCGCAGGCGGAGCTCGAAATGAGGAAGGCTCAGTTCCAGGTGGGCGGGGCCGCAGGCGCCCGCGCGCGGTGCGGGCCCGGGAGCACGGCTAGAGGGCGGGGGCGCCCAAGGGTTTCGGAGGCGGGCGGGCGGGGTGCGGCTGAGGGCGCGGCATCGACGCGCCGGCTTGCCGCCGCCCGCGCCCGCAGGATGAGGTGCGGGAGCTGACGCAGGGCAAGGAGGCCGCGGCGCAGCGGGCCGCGAGCCTGCAGCACCAGCTGGACAGGCTGCAGGCGGTGCAGCAGGGCCTGCAGGCCAGCCTCGCCGACAAGGAGGCGGCGCAGGAGGCGCTGACTGTGCAGCTCTCGCAGGTGGGCGCACCAAGAGGGGGGGGGGGAGAGCGGAGGGCGGAGCGCGTGCGCGGGGCCGTAGGCACCTGGGTCCCCACTGCTAGCATTGCGTGAAAGACGTGTGCTGAGGCAGCGCCAAATTGACGCCCCGCCATGCCCCGCCGCCCCGCTCGCGCGTCCGTGCAGGCGCAGAGACAGCTTGAGGAGCTGCGCTTGCAGGTGACGGCGCTGGAGTCGGATCGGTCTGGGCTGCAGTCGCAGCTGCGGTCGGCGCAGAACCAGGTGGGCCGCCAAAGCCGGCCCCAAAGTGGACCCGGGCGCGGACGCAGCCATAGATCATTGGCACTGTTTAGGATGGCGGCTGCGAGCAGGCGGCAGGCGGGCGTCAACCCAAGCGCAGAGCCCCTGATGCTGAGTTGATGTTTGTGGGGCGTGCCCGGGCTCGGCGCGTTCATGCAGGTGACGCTGCAGCTGAACGACATCCAGATGAAGGCGTCGCGCCTCAAAGCCGCGGAGGACCAGCTTCAAGCCATGCAGGAGGCCCACGTTCAGGAGGCGCGCTGCCTGAACGAGCAGCTGCAGGAGGCGAAAGACCGCAGCACCCAGGCGCGGGCCAACGAGCTGGCGGCGCGCAGGGAGATGGAGGAAGCGCAGCGGCAGGCGGAGGAGGGCAAGGCGGCGTGCGCGCGAGCGGAGGCGGCGCAGCAGCAGCTGAAGCAGCAACATGAGGCGCTGCAGGCGGAGCACGCCGCGCTCAAGCAGCAGGTGGCGGGGCTGTGGGGGGCGCGTGGCAGCTGTTGCATGTGCCAGGGAGGTTGGCGCAGGCCCAATCTCTTCCTTCAGTCCCCGCCTCAAGCGCCCGACTTGCTTGACAAAGCCGAGAGCTTCGCCGGTGCATGCCGCCCCCGTGGAAGGTTGGGTGAGGGACTCGCGCAACGCTCTCGCAGGCGGCGCGGCTGGAGGAGTCCGACGCGGCGGCCCGGGCGGACTCATCGGCGCTCCAAACACGCGTCTCCGAGGCCGAGGAAGCGCTCGCGGCCGCCAAGGCGGACGCGAGCGTGACGGCCGCCCGGCTGGCTGAGCGGGACGCGCAGTTTTCTGAGTTGCAGGACGTGATTGGCAAGGTGGGGCCCCGGCGGGGCCGCACTCGCCTGGCTGCGTGTTGCGTCACATGGCAGCGCGATGCATTACGTGACAACACGTCCGCTTTGCCGGCAGCAAGCGGTTTTCGCTGATGTGGCTTGGGGTGCTGCCTCGGAAGGGGCGAGACTCTCTGCGCTTGTGTGCGCAATAGGGAGCCGAAGATGCGCTTAAGGTGCCTTCTGACGTCCTTATCAGCGATCGGTGCGGCGGGGCGCGGCGTCCCAGTGCGTGCAACAACATTCGCCCCTCCGCGTCCACGCCGCGCGCGTCGCCGGCACCGCAGGGGGAGCAGCGGGACGTCGTGTCGCGGCTGCTGGCGCGCATCAGCGCGCTGCAGTGCGCCGCCGCGGCGGCGGAGGCGACGCGGCGCGAGCTGCACAACCAGATGGTCGAGCTGCGCGGCAACGTGGGTCGGCCCCCTGGCCTCGCCTCAGCCCCTGTTGGCCTGCCGCTAGCCGCTGGCCGCCCGCCGCTGGCCGCCAGCGCTGCCACAACGGGCGGGCCGAGGTCGGACGGCTAGCGCTGGCAGCCTCGCATCCCTGCCGTGCTGCTGCCGTGCACGCGCCCTGGCGGCGGCCCTTTCATCGAAGCCCCGCACGCCCCGCCTCGCTCGCCGCAGATCCGCGTGTTCTGCCGCGTGCGGCCGCACCCCCAGACGGCCGTGCGCTGCCTGCCGGGCGGCAGCTCCCTTGCGCTGTCGGTGGACGGGAGGGAGCACGCCTTTTCATTCGACAAGGTCTTTGGCCCGCAGGCTGGCCAGGAGCAGGTGGGGGATGGGGGCAAGAGGCGACGGGCCGAGGCAGCGGCGCGGCGCTGCGCGGGCCCGTGGCTGGCGCAGCTGCCGTGCTGGCTCGGCTGAGGATGCTGCTGTATCTCACAGATACAGCCGAGCTCGTCGCCCCTCCAGCTGCTCCTCCCCACCAACAAAGTGACACCCGACTCACATCCCCTGTCGCCCCTCCCTAATCCCCGCTCGCTCGCGCGGGACCCCGTGATCTCAGATCTTTGGCGAGGTGTCGGAGCTTGTGCAGAGCGCGCTGGACGGCTACCACGTCTGCCTCTTCAGCTACGGCCAGACGGGCGCCGGCAAGACGTACACCATGCAGGCGCGCCGGGGGACCGGGGTGGCGTCGAGGACTGGGGCGGGGCGGGGCGGGGCTGCAAGAGGCGGCCGCTGGGGCGCACGCACAGCGGCGCCGGGCGTAGCTTCGCAGCCAATACTCCCTCCCACTCCAGCCGGCCTCGCCGCGTTGCGCTGCACCCCGCTGTCCGAAGCTGCCGAGCCCGACCTGCCGCAGCTGCCACGCCGCGCGCAACGATGCTTGCTTCCCCCTGCTTCTATGCGCGCAGGGCAGCCCAGACGCGGCGGGCGCGGGCATCATCCCGCGGGCGGTGGAGCTGATCCTGGGGCGCGTGGAGGCGCTGGCGGCGCAGGAGTGGGAGTATCGGCTGGAGGCGTCCTTCATAGAGGTCTACAACAACACGCTGAGGTGGGAGGGCGGCCGTGGGGTGCAGGGATTGCGGCAGGGGCGCGGGGCGCGGCGCTGGGAGAGCGTGACGGAT